GCTTGGTCGAAAATGAGAGGGATAAGGGAGTAGGAATGGTCCTTTTGTCTCATTGGACAAATGAGTGTGAATGGGAGGTCCACCTCATGTCCTTTAGATGCCATCGCCTTCACCTCACCCTATCTCACCCCTCTTGCTCTCATTCCAGCCGGCCAACCATTGGCTTTAGTGACCAAAAAACGTGGGTTGGCCCCCACACATGTGGGAGGTCAACCCATTATCTCCCGAGGTGTACAATCGGTCCCGAAAGTTGTATTTTTCGGACTGTTTTAATTATATTTTATTTTAACAGGTCAAATAAAATATATTATGTGTTTCCCATCCTTATGGACTCTTAGAATGAATACAAATTCCTCATCTTTAATTTATAAGTCTTCGAAATCTGTTTTGGGCTGTTATCTGATAAATTGCCAATACCGGTAGTTGGGCTTCGTTTGACCGACGGGTCAACCCTAAGCCCTTTCTATGGACCAACTAAAGTATATACCATCATATAAATATCATCTAGACCAAGATGAATATAATATGTGGTCCCGGAATTATCGGGTGGTCCCCGCTCCCGATGTGGGCCCCACGTGTGGTTCAATATTCACGCGAAAGAAATAACCAAAAATTTACAACCACGTAAATTCATAAATCAATATTCAGGATTTATTACATGATTTACTAAAAGTAAATATACTTGGGGACGGTGTTACAAGTTCACCCCCCTTATTTGGGATTTCGTCCCCAAAATCCTGTGTCTAATCGAAAAGAAACGGGTATTGCTCCCTCTGAGAGACCTCAGTCTCCCAGGTTTCTTCTTCGACTCGATCACTCCTCCAAAGCACCTTCACCATAGGAATCTCCTTGTTCCTAAGCCTCTTTACCTGCTGACCCACTATCTTCACCGGTTCCACTGCATATTGTAGGTCCTCTCGAATTTCTACCGGTGGTCTCTCAAGAATATGTGACGGATCTCGTACATACTTCTTGAGCATCGATACATGGAACACATCATAAATCTTCTCAAGTTCAGGTGATAACTTGAGACGGTAAGCCACGGCCCCAATCCTTTCAAGGATTTCAAACGGACCAATGTATCGGGGGTTAGGCTTACCCCTCGATATGAATCAGATGATACCTTTAAAAGGAGAAATCCATAGAAACACCTCATCCCCAACTGCAAACTCTAACGGCCTATGCCGTTTATCGGCATAGCTCTTCTGCCGATCTTGGGCAGCCTTAAGCCTATCTCGAATAATTTTGACCTTGGCTTTGGTGATCTCGACGAGTTCTATGCCTTCGAGTTTGGGCTCGCCAACCTCGTCCCAACACAGAGGGGTTCTGCATTTCCTCCCATACAATGCCTCGTATGGAGGCATGCCAATACTCGCCTGATAACTATTGTTATAGGCAAACTCCACAAGGGCCAAGTGTTTGTCCCAACTCCCTTGGAACTCCAAAGCACATGCCCTCAGCATGTATTCCAGAATCTGTATCACCCGTTCGGATTGTCCATCCGTCTGTGGGTAAAATGTTGTGCTAAACTTCAGTTTAGTTCCCAACGACGCTTGAAACTTTGGCCAAAATCTGGATGTGAATCGTGGGTCCCTATCCGAGACAATGGATATTGGAACTCCATGCAGCCTCACAATCTCCTCCGTGTACAACTTGGCCAATCGTTCAAGAGGATAAGTGATGTTGATAGGCAAGAAATGTGCACTTTTTGTAAGCCTATCAACCACCACCCATACGGCATCGTAGTTGTTCACCGTCCGTGGTAAGCCTACCACAAAGTCCATGGTCACATGTTCCCACTTCCATTCTGGGATGGTAAGTGGCTGTAAAAACCCCGTCGGGTGCTGATGTTCTGCCTTAACTTGCTGACAAGTAAGGCATCGACTCACATACTCCGCGATGTCTCTCTTCATACCGGACCACCAATAACTTTCTTTCAGGTCTCGGTACATTTTTGTACCTCCTGGATGCATAGCATAGGCTGAAGAATGAGCCTCCTCAAGTATGGATTTCCGAAGTTCCTCATCCTTTGGTACGCATATGCGATCTTTGAACAACAAAAGACCATCATCGCGTACCCAAAAATTCTCAACGGGCCTGATGCACACTAATTAGTAGTGCATAATTACATGTTTTTATGTTTGATTTATGTTAATTGTTTGACGTTTTATTTAGTTTGTAAACATTTATGTGATTTCAGTTGTAATTGTATTTTAGTCTTTATTTGTCAGTTGTAAAGTTTAGTTAGGATTTGTGATGTTGGAAAGGAAGACTTTGAAGTGAAGAAAAAGAAGATTTGGCTGCCCAGGAGCAAATACCCGACCGGGTATAACACTTAACCCGGTCGGGTAAGAAGTGAAAAACGAAAATGCAAAGAAAGTGCATGGCCCGGTCGGGCCCACTACCTCACCCGGTCGAGTGAGAAGTGACCGGGGACAACCCGGTGTGCAAAGATCACCCGAACGTGAAGAAAATCCAATTTTTGCACTCACCCGGTCGGGTCCCTTACTTGACCTGGTCGGGTCTGACTTGACCCGGTCGGGTCTGACTTGACCCGGACACTTTAACATGCCAAAGATCACCAGAACGTGGGGAAATATCTGATTTTGACTGGACCCGGTCGGGTGAGTACTTGACCCGGTCGGGTACCCGGCCAAAGGTGTTGAAAAACACCTATAAATAGCACACTTTTTCTTCTCTAAAAATCATCCCTTCTTCCATACTCTTAAGCTCAGTTTAGAATAGCATTTCTTTATATTTTTCTAGCTATGTTTAGTCTCCAAATGAGGAGCTAAACTTCCATTCTTGGTGTTGCTCTTGAAGCTTGTTGATTATTAAAGTTGTGAGTTATTTTCTTAACTTCTTTCCTTGAATATTAATTAATAGTTCTTTCCTTAATACCATCTCTATATTAATGTTGGGGAGTGTTGCTAAGATGACAATTAGTTAACATCTCGACATTAGTTAGAATGGTATTTTCTTCCTCTATATTAATATTGAGGAATGTTGCTAAGATGACAATTAGTTAACATCTTGATATTAATTATAGTAGGATTCATCTTCATTAATAATATTCTTCCTTGAATATTAATTAATCCCTACTCTTATTTCATATTAATATTTTGAACATTACTTAAAGGATCAACTAGTTTTGTTTCATATATTAATTATTACTAGAAACGATCAACGAACCGATGGTTAATCGTTGATGGTTTCACAAGTAAGTAACTTCGGTTTATTAATGCACGGTCGTGGTTAATAAACTTAAGAGGGATTAATTTTGTTGGTTAAACCGAAACCGCTTGTTTTGAGGTTATCAATCTCAATTGATTTCATCAAGGAGTTAGAAAGATTAAATGCTACTATTAAATCGGTATAAGGCGTTGTTCTATATTTGATTAATAGTAAGGGTTATTAATGAACGGTCGTTGTTAATAACTACCCTCGATGAAGTGGATATACTCCCCGATTGAGTATTCGAGAGGGAATAAGTTATAGATATAACAATGATCGACTAAAATATATCAACAAGTGGAAAGTAGCAATGCCAAGTCCTTTTTATCTTTGAATTAAACACATATAGGTTGTTCATCTTAGTTTTTAATTAAATTAAATCTCTCAAACCAAAACCCCCCTTTTTATTCATTAAGTTCATAGAAAGAGAATTATACCTTTCCCTGTGGATACGAACTCTACTACACTATACTACGTATAAGTGTTTAGTATTGAATTTATTTTGACGCACCTTGACAAAAGTGCTCGTCAGGGCCCCGCAAGGATCCGTTCGCGGATCTTCTGACATTCTTCATCAATGCTCTGACCTCTGTTGATCTCATCCATCAAGGTAGGTCTAACCTCGAACCTCGCTATGAGGGCCTCGCTTGTGGTCACCTCCACGCGTGCCCGTAATGCCCGTAGGCATGTGAGTAACGTCCTCGATGTGCTTTTCCTACTTAGTGCGATAATGTGATATGTATATTTGAATGGAATTTTTTGTTTTGAAATAGAAATAAGCCACCTTTACTTTTGACAAAAGGTGAACAATTCAATGTTGGATACAACAACTACTAGTTCAATGTTGGATGGTAGAAAAAAAATTCACAACCTTATAGTGATTGGGGAAATAATTTAACTGACGATAGCATTTGCTATACTATTCTAGTTATTTATATATGTACATGGTTCCAATTCCACCATATGTAAAACTTCTACTTTCAGCACAGAAAGATACTGGCAGAGTGATGCTTTACACCGTGTCATTTTTTTGCTTGACTGCATCACTAAAGATCAACCAAAGAAGAGTAAGAGCATGTTTAATATGCCTTATCAAGTGCTTATTAAAAAATGCTGTAGTGGTTAAGAAATAACTTTATATCAATGCACTTAAACCATCAGGTATCTATAGAGGCTCTAAAGTAGTGATTGTTATAGATTTGATGAATGAAAATCGGTTCTAACTTCTAAAAAGAAATAGGTGCGAGGCAGATAGGGCATAGTGTCTAGGCGAGGCTTAGGCATGGTTAACTAGGGTAATTTTAAAAAACACCCAAACATTTACACACAGAGTCTTCCAAGTAGAAGTCTAGAGCTTACTAGTATATCCATGGATTTTCTGAACAGAGTTGATGATATATGATGTCTAAAAATGTAAAGGAAGTAGGGAGTGTTCTTTGAACAGAATTGTGTGTGTTTATCTGATTTAAAATCCCTTGTGTCACTGCTTTAATATGTTTCTCCATCCCTTTTCTGCTCAGTGCGTATGTTTTTATCAGCACTTTAACATTTTGTCATTTGATACCTTTAAACGCTAAAAATCCTCTATTATTTATAATGAGTGAACTGCTGAAAATAAAATTATAATGATCTTCCGCAGATGTGAATCTGTTCTTCAACAAGGCTACAATTGTACTATTCGAGTTGAGAAGAGCAACCCAAAGGCTCATCATAGGAGCAAGAAATCCAGATGCAGCCCACAGAATCATGTGGTGTACACGTGCCAATTTTGTTCACACCAGAACCTAAAGAGAGGAACCCCAAAAGGTCATATGAAAGAAATATGCCCACAAAAGCCCAAGCCCTTAACCCAAAAAAAGTCATTTGAATCAAAGACTGTCACTTCAAGTAATGGCGATCATGATATTATGCTAGGCAGGTTTGTTGAAACAGCAGGTGATCCCACGACGCCTTCATCGATGAGAGTGGACATCACTTTATGGGACTCAAAGAGAAAGAGAAGGAACTGGTCAGGGGGATTAAAGAAAAAGCCTGTTAGATCTGAATGTGCTTCAACCACCACGACCACCACTACTACTACAACTACATACAGTAATCATAAAACCACTATTGACACAGGTGGTAGCAAAAGAAAGAGAAAATCTTGGACTAGTTTGAAGCACATTGCTGAAAGTAATGAGCATGATGGTCATGGTAGGAAGTTCTCAAATGTGGTAGTCCCTTTTTTTGTGTGAGTTCAAATTATTTGTTCATGCTTGTTGTTAAACTTCATAGTGTGAAACTTGTGATTCAAAAGTTTTGTTGTTGCTATTGTTTAGTCATTTCATGCACTGTTTCCTTTACTTAGTCGTGGTTCTAACAAATTCAGGTTAAAATACCTAAAAAGTGAACAAGTAAGAAGGTGATATTTCACCACTGCAGACTGTATAAGAATTTAAGATGTGTAGTGAAATGGTAATTCGAGACTTCAAATGAGTGGTCGGAATTTGGAAATGATCTTGGCTCAAATAGGATTGAGGTTGTGCTGGGAAAAGATCTACGATAACCTGTACCAGTTGTACACAGTTGTACAGGTCATCGTTAGTTTCAAGAGTTCTTTTGACGTTAGTTTCTTGTTTTTATATAGATTCTATTATTTTCTGCTCGGTGCATATATTCAATTTATCAGAACTTTAACATTTTGTCATTTGATACCTTTAAACGATGAAAATCCTCTATTATTTATAATGAGTGAACTGCTGAAAATAAAATTATAAAGATCTTCCGCGGATGCGGAAATTGAATATATGCACCGAGCAGAAAAGGAATGGAGAAGCCTCGCCTAGACACTATGACCTATCTGCCTCCCACATATTAAAGCAGTGACACAACACCATTCTTAGGCTAATCGCAACTCGCATTTGTCAATAAATCAAATTTCCCATTACGCTATATGTATTCACATTATCAATTCAATTTTTGCAGCAATCCAGCCACTGTCAATATACTATCTTGCAAAGTTGTTTTTAATTTAAGTCTTATTTTTATCATTATACATCTTTTTTATCAATTTTTTAAGGATAATTAAGATTGAAAAGAATCAAACAGTTTGATGTAAAAGTAAATAAATTTGGAACTAATTTTTGTTTTATTTTTATTTCAGATCCATTTTTGAAAAAAAAAAGCGAAAGATAGTAAAAAATATTAACCATGAGATCTTAATTTTAGCACTTGAATATATTTATGAAACAAATTGAGTCCGAAAATCTCAAATGGTTGCAATTTTATATTTTTGTTCAACTTTATATATGTACTAGTTTAGTAACGCGCGTTGCGCGTTCGTGGTAATGCCCAAGGCCAGTGTGGGAACATTAATTCTTCGGTTCGGATTGAGTGAATCTATGAGTAATATCAATACATTATGTGAATACGTAGTTTGTTATTTACAAAATTACAAAATAAATTAAAATGAACTTTATCAAGGGAACACAAAAAATGTGGCCAATTTTATAAACATGAATCAGTCGAATCTGGCATTCTTACCTCTAATGTAAATTCAAAAGCCACCCACCTCACACACACACACAAGTAAAAAAAGAGAACCAATTCCAAACAAATAGAAACTCCACAAACAAAAAATGACCATAAATCAAAGAACCAACACCAAACTCCAATAGTCTATGGCTAATTAATCAATTAACATCAGGGGTCTCAACTTCGGGTTTCTCCTGTTCAGCCTCTTGCACTTCCTTCTCTGTCTTCCTTCCCTTCTTTAAGTTGTAGTACACAATCATGAAGGTGCCTATGATTTTATACTTGCGCCTGCAGTGCTCATAGAGCCCAACACCAAAATCCTCCAGAAGCTCTTTCCTGACAACTCATGAAATGCATATTGTACAGAGTCTAAGTGTGATCTGATCCTAGTGAGGCCCCAAGCAATATTTTTTAAACTAAGCTATCGTATAAAGATAGTGTAATGTAATGTGCTTAGAAAAAATGGGCTGTAACATTATAACAAAAACACTTGAGTAGTGATAAAGAGATTTAAAACATATTTTTTTATATGTATGTTAAACTATTAGGAGCAGAAAGTGATAAAAAACCAATAGAGCCGGCAAATTTCATACGAAATAACAAGTTTTCCTTTTTTGTAAGTATTTATTTCACTGAAACTATATTTCACTTTAAGAACATGAACATACTGCTTTTACTTGTTTTCATCCTTGTGAGTACCAATATTCTCTCATTCTCTTTTTTAGAAATGATAAAGGAATAGAATCTACTACATAGAATGTTTAGATTTAACGGGTAAGGTTCATTACTGAAAATCTCATCAAGATAAGAAGTAACAGGATTCTTTATAATATCACAACCTTAAGCGGTTTTGCCATTTATATCCTGAACTTCAAAGGTAAAAGGAATTTTGTTTGTTATCGTTGGTAGTAGTATGTAGGAATTTTGTTCCTTATCTTTGACAAAATGGTCTGTAATTTTATAACATAAACACTTGAAAAGCATTGAAGAGGTTAAAAATGTAGTTTTTCATATGAATGTTAAACTATTAGGAGCAAAAACTAAAACAACTCCCATAAAGCTAGCAAATTTTATTTGAAAGAGTAAGTTTTCCTATTTCTTTGTTAAGAAGATATTAAACTTCAACTATATTTCAATTTAAAGAACATGCACATACTGTTTTTCATTGTCCAACTAAGCCAAAGTAGTCATTCCTAATTGGTTGAACCTAGTAATAATACCTAATTGGGCAAACCTAGTACTTAACAATGATCAAAACTCTAACCTTGGGTAAACCGTACACACCACTACATTTCAGGTGCTATTTGACCGTCTTTTTTTACCAGGGGAAAGACAAGCCCTATACATTCAACAACATATAAACTAAATGCTTTATAAGGTGAATTCTTTGATTAATTTATTTAGTATTTGATTTAATGATTCATTCAATTAGTCCAGTTAATTTGATCATTTCTGAATTGTTGCACACTGGTCAATCTAAAGTGGCTGACTATGTTCATTTGATTAAAGAACATGAGCATAGTTGTGGTATTTCTCTGATGTGCCCAACCCTTACTATAGCCAAACCATCCTTCTGTTCAGATTTTCCATAAAAAATGCTTTAAGGGATTACTTCTTTGATGAATTTATCTAGGGAATTGATTGACTAATTGAACCAGCTAGTCAATTTACTAATTGGTTGCTTTAAACTATGTTCAATTAAAGAACTTGAACATGGTTTATTTATTTCTTCAAAAAACCAAAGTTGTAATTTCGTAACATGTTGAACCTAGTACCTAGTAAAGATCACCTTTTCAATCCTCCAAGCATGGCTAGCCACTATTGCAGTAAAGTGTAACACATAAAGACAGTAATATGTAACCTCGAAATAGCCTAACTGATTTACAATTTAAAGAACGTCACAATACTTAAACCTTAGCAGCATACATGGTTGTAAACTTTAGTTTATTAAATGCCATTAACTGCAACACAACAACACTCTATACAAGGGCAAAAACTTTAGTTTATTAAATGCCATTAACTGCAACACAACTACAAGGGCAATATGCTATTAGAAAACACGGTCTCACAGGGATAGAGAACACGGTCTCAAAGGGAGGGAGGCAGGCTGCTATTAGGAAAAAAAAGTAATGGGTCACAGGGTTATGATAAGCCTCTTTCCAGAACCCTTTGAATGTGATAAATAATTTTTATTGTTGTGCAAACTCAACAAGAGGAACTTGAGAACACAAGCATGTAACCAAGGATTCCCAACAGCATAAGTCCAACTCTTCAAAACTTTATCTAAAATTTCAAAACCTTATTGCTCATTATAAGGCACCCACCTATCACTGTTCTCCACCTCGAATATATCAGGTCTAGTTCTAGCTGCAATAATAAAAATGTGTTCTTTGTTGTCATGACATGTACTCCCGTCATGAGTTGGGTAAGAACTCGATCATTGGACCCAAATGCATCTCCACCTCTCCTTCTTTCTGGATGATGCACTACCATCAAGAAGCACTTGTTATTGGTACCTAATGTTGAAAGGTTTGTCATATATTATTAAGTTCTACAGTACATAATGCTTAATTGAACACCTCTTGACACCTCTTAACATTTTTACAAACAGAATGGACTCACAAAACAAACTTTAATTTTCCTCAACTGCCCAACACAGAGTTCAAAACTCGTATGTTGTTATAGATGTCCACACCAGCAACTTGTTAAACTAAGGAACCTAACAGTAGATTACCTCGTATAGTAAATACCCAATGCTAAGAAATGTTTTTTTATAAATGCATTGTTTGTTTTCTAAGAATTATATGTAGCCCTACATAAGCACCAAAGATTCAATAAAGATTGTTTAATTGATTAGAGATCGTAACAGCTCATCCATTTTCGTTTTTTAATCTGAGAATATTTTAGGCTCAATAGCATTGGTTATGAGATCTAGTATACAATGAACACATAGAGTTTGTTCACGTTGAAAGAATCTTACTTGTAATCTACATTTTGCATAGAGCACCACATTCATTCTATAAACAAAAAAATTAACCAAGAATTGCAAGATTTGACTGAATTCCAAACCATCAAATTTTCAATCGTCAGGCTAAAAATCTGCATTGGTAGGTTCTCCACCATCCATAAAGGGGGAGATACAACTATTCCAAATTACTTATGGGGGAAGACAACCAAGAGCTGATTAATTTCGTGCTGCAATTGTTGGCGCCCTCCTGAAGTTCCATATTTGCCTCACCTAGGAGTCGCAAATGATGCAGAAGGCTGCGCAGTGTTTCTTTCCCTCGATCGGTCTCTGTAGAATCAAGACCATCTGCCTTATCGTATCCATAGTGACTGAAGAGATTGGGAAAATATTGGATGGTCTGAGAGGTGATATTAACGGAGGTGACCTTGAGAAAATGGTTGGACGCTAGAGTATAGAATGAATCTCTTAGATGTCAAACTAACGGGGGAGAATACCATATTGCGTAAAGTGAAAGGTTCCTTCACTCCTTTGCTTGCAACTGAGCGATGAAGTAAGCAGGGAGTACAATAGTTTAATACATAAAGAGACACCAATAATTTTTCTATGACCATTATACCCCTAACATTATTCATGCTTATACAATTGTAGATATATGTATATATGCAGCACGTTGAACTTCAATATGCAGTAAAAATAATGTAAAGATGCAGTGGTAGGATCACATACAAACTAGTCCTCTCATTCAAATTATCTTTACATTATTTGTATTCCACATTGAAGTTCAAAGTATTTCATATTATTTATGCCATAAAATAGTAGTTTCATATTTAGATTATTTGTATTGCATATTGAAGTTCAAAGAGTGTATCTTTACATTATTTGTACTACATATTGGAGTTCAAAGTGTTGCATATTATTGAGTTTGTAGGTTAGTAAATTAAGCATGGTTTAACCCGGTAGGCAAACCACCAAAATCAGTGGGGTAAATGCCGGGGAACATTTGCCAGATATTATTAGCAAATCAAAAACTGATTACATAAGGGGGATATAAAACCTAACCCTTCACACAAAGAAGCCCAAAAGAGAGCAAAAAAATAGAAGAAATTAGAGGAAAACATAAGGGACGGAATCAGCATCTAATTTAATCACACCTCCCAACTCTTTGGGTAAAATATCACCCTTCCTCCAATAAAAAACTCCATCTAGGCCCATTTTAGCAATGATTTCCGCAACAAGATTAGTTGGGCCCGGAATTACTGAAAAAAATGCTGAACCATTGAGCCCACCCATATTTCTGCCCACCCGAAACATCTTCGAGAAGGAGGACTCTATATTTGTGTCATATGAAAGAAAAAAGTTATGAATTTTGATATATTTTTTGAAAAAATTTATAAACAAGTAAAAAAGTATTACACTTTCTTCTTCCGGAAAAGGGCGTGAATATGGGGTGCCAAATCCTCCCCCTTGGGGTGCCATTCTACCCATCTGGCACCTCCAAAATACATGGGTTGGAGGGTTTTAAAAAGAGTGAAATATCTTAAAGTTAAATTTTGACCTATAAGATTGCAGACAATCTTATTAGGTAAGAAATGTTAATTAAGCTCTTGTACTTCAAAATCAATTAATTGAACCTTCAAACTCTTATAAAATGCTTAATTGAGTGGTTTAGTCAGTAAACAACAAGTTTCGTGATAACCGTCTACGTGGAATGTCCATATAATTTTTTAATGTTTTTTAGTTATCTTTTCCAACACGTTTTTACCCCTTTCTTTTTGTTTGATCTATATTTCTTTTTGCCATGTACCGCAAGTCCACAACCTCATTTTGCATCTGTCTAGGTCAACAACTTTACCGGTGTTCTCTACACTCAATCGTATATCTTATAAAACAACTCATACAATTTGTACTTGATTGTGTATATCTTATATTACTGTCTTGAAGATATTTGTAATTATTAGATTCATTATGATTGTGCTACTAGCATGTAGAATATGATGATGTTTTTATACAATGGATTTAGTGCGTTTTTTAAGTTTTGAAGGACATGAAGTGAAAGTCTTATCCCGAAACTATGATGATTAGCAACTCTCATTGCTATCAACAATGATTTTTATATTCTTTTTTTGTAATATAAATTTGATCTTTTTTTTAATGGAAAGTAAGTATATACTACCTCTGTCCCCTAAGGTTGGGACAAAGAGGTGTGATGTGGTTTTTAGAAAAAGTAGAATTATGTGGTTGATATTGAATTGATAAAGTATGAAAAAAGTAAAAATGAATTGTAGTCAATCAAATATTAACAAATATGATATGAGACAAACTTAATGTGACGGCCAAAAAAGTAAAACATGATAAAGTTAGGGGGGCGAATGAAGTATTAAAAGTCATCCAAAAGTAACCAATTTAGGCAAAAATAGTACTCCCTCAGTCCCAAATTATAAGATACATTTATTATTCACTTGGTCAACATAAATCACTCTTAATCTTATACTTTATATATCAAAATTTTATGAAATTTGAATTATTTTTTGCAGGTTTTGTAGCGGTTTTAATGTAGTTTCTGAATATGTAAATTTTATTTTCTAAAACTATTTTGAGTGTTGACAGGGATCAAATTGCTTTATTGTCAATCAAACATCGTAAACCGTAAAATATCTTACAAATTGGGACGAAGGGAGTATCTAATGTCTCCCCCTACGAAACCCCTACCTTCTAGCATGGAAAGGGAAAGAATTGTAAAAATCCATAACAATCCAAACTTGCACGGGACATGCTCCGGCTAAAGGTGTGATTTGGAGTTAGATTTTGGGGGCAGGGGAAAGGAGTGAGGGTTAATGACCCCATTTTGTGTTTTGGAGTTTTTTAAAATGGAAGGAAAGTTTTTGGAGTTTTTTTAAAATCCTTTAAGCCCCTCTAAGATCTACCAGTACGTATATAGTGCATCCGGGTGTACGTACACCCGGCCCAAGTAAGAAAGACAGCCCAACCACTAATTAAGCCCAAAAAAAATCCAGTGGCATTTTTGTAATTTAAGCGAAAAATCACGGCTTCGGTAAATGAGCAATGATGTAATTTTAATGAGCATCTGACCTATTTTATTGAGTATTTAAGAGGCTAACAATGAGTTTTACGATCTCTGCTTCATATCTTCCAATTCTTTTTTCTTCTTCTTAATTTTTCTTTTATAAGAACTTATTAAATTATATCTATAATACACTCCTATTAATTTCAATATGCAAATTTAATGTAATATGATGTTTTTGAATTATGCATTGATATGACATTTTAAAATGATCATAACATCGGTACTAAATGGGCATACGTAACTTACAACATGTTCATTAATATGAAAATCGTAAGATTTGTTACTTGAACGTCACAAAATTTTCATTGAGTATCAAACCTCTTCTTTTGAGATGAAAATCATGGTTTCTGTCAAATGAGCATTCATGAAATTTTACCGAGCATTGCATTTATTCTGCTGAGTATTAGGAATATAATATTGAACATCATGATACTTTTGAATTATGAATTTATATGCATTTTAAAATGAGGATAATGTCAGAACCAAATGAGCATACATAATTATAAAATGAGTATCGAAAAATTCAAATGGTCATTTGAAATCGCTAATGTGTTCAAATTATCATTTGTACATGTTCATTCCGTTTAAGCGTTATGCTCATTTGGTATGTGAGAACGATGATGCAAAGGTTGGATTGATCTGTCACTGTCACGTCAATATCACCAAAATCTAATCTATACACAGCATCAACGTTGTCATCTAGAATCTCTACAGCACCGGAGATGGAATAATGGCGACGGACAAGAAACGCCTAAATTTTGATGGATTGGAGCGTCGGCGATTGAGCAACCCAGGTGAGACTCTAACAAATTAGGTTGCAGCAAGATGGAATCTGCTCCTAGTCAAACTGCATCCATGGAAAAACTCTTCACGTCGCGATGACGGTGAAGCTCGAATCGATGAAGCATGGTGAAGGTCGAGCGACGATGTCTATGGTGAAGAGATCGACGTGCAATAATGAAATGGGAGAAAAATATAAAATTAACAAGCGTACGTGTACACCCTATGTATCATATCATACTTTTCTAATTCCCTCTAATCGGGAGGTTTCTAAGGACTAACGGATGAAATGACAATCTGCTCCCACGAACGACAATCTGCTCTCCCACGAACCCTAGCTTTACGAACGACAATCTGCTCTCCCACGAACCCTAGCTTTACGAACGACAATCTGCTCCCACACAATCTGCTCCCACGAACCCTAGCTTTTTCTCTGCCCGAAATTCTTCGTTTGGAATCATCGCTGCTTGAAGTGGATCCTCTCCTATCGACGCCATAACTTCACTATTTCGCCTAAAATTCTCAGGTATGTTCTGTTTCCCAAGCATTTTTCGTATTTTGTTGTAATCTGCTTCACTCTCTCTTCGCTCAACATCTGACCTCTCTGTCTCTCAATCGTATTTGATTGTATTTCGCATTCTCAGATTATTCAATTTTTCTTTGGATTTTGTGCGAGATATGGATTTTATATTTGGTATTTAGCTAGTCAAGAGGTTAGGAGCGGTACAACAAATGAACTTCACGTGCTAAAAAATAACCAGGCAGCTCTCAACACCTGGGGTTACTATGCAGTTCTTGAAGATTAATAGAGAATCGAGAGAAGACATGATAAAAGTTTCAGAATCACATTAACTGAGATATGGGGTTTTTGGAATGTGAGACAATGGCAGCCCCCCTCTAACTCTTCTGCCATAAGCAGCCTAAAAGTAGGTGTAAACTTCAATTCAGAAATACAGACAACAGTTTTTCCTAATTCATTTCAACCAATCAAGTATTCAACTCCAAAAGTCTGTTACATATGGAGAATAAGATAACTCTGTTCTTCTATCAAAGTATATTTTGCCAACCATATATATAGGTTTACAATGTATGTATGTATATAAGTTTACAAAATTGTTTCTGCAAATATGATTAGATGGCATGAAGAAGTGCAGCAACTCTAAAACTCTATATTACATCCAGAGTATAAGATAACTCAGTTCACTTTTTTGCATCAAGACTTGTGCCTTTTCACTTCTTCGATGGTCAAACTTTGAGATGAGTACTCTTTGTATATAGTTTTACATTGAGACTGTCACATGCTTCTGGCCCAAGAGAGACTTAGAAGCACTATACAAGCTCAGTAATAGTGAGTTATTGTTAGAGTCAAGGGAAGTCAACCTCTTGATAATAATAATAGTATTAGCTATTATGATAAAGTGTATTCCAGAAGGAAAGGGAATAATAAGTAGCTAGCTGTATTGTTGTGGGGGTCGGGTGGACTTCTATAAATAGATAGCTAATGGATGAATAAGGCATGCTCTAATTTGGTAGTTGGCTGGGACTGGAGAGTTGACATCTCTTTAACTGTCAGGCACTTTCTCTCTTTTCTGTTGATCGAATAACAAACTTGTTCACTGTTCATCTTCGTTCCTCTTTTTCTGTCCCAAACCTCACTGATTCCAGATAGATACTTAACATTGGTATCAGAGCATCGACTTGGTAACCTGTACATGGCCGTTACGAGAGGATCAACAAGAATAACAATGGAAGTTAGACTGGAAAACTTGGAACACGAGTTGGAACGTAGTCGTTTGGACATGTTGCGAGAGTTGGAGAAGACTCGCATGGAGGTGATGCGCGATCGCGATCGCGATCGTGAAGACATGCGCGAAGAGGCTCAGCGAACTCACGATGAGTTGCGCGACATAATAATGCAGCGATGCGAGTCGCGCGGAAGATCCAAAACAACGAAGCGAAGTAAGCGACATGATAGCAATGAATCGTCTTCGTCTTCGTCAGGTAAGCATCAATCTTCTTCGTGAAGTGATGATTACAGTAAATTGATGGAAAAGTCTGGAAGGAAAGTAGATTTACCACTCTTTAACGGACATGATGCTTATGGATGGATAGTTAAGGCTGAGCGTTTCCTTAAAATGAACCATATAGAGGAAGATGATAAAGTAGAATTAATTACTTTAGCAATGGAAGGAAAGGCTCTTAACTGGTTTCAGTGGTGGGAAGAACACACTGAGATGAGAAACTAGGAATCATTCAAGTTTGCCTTGACTCGCAGATTTCAACCAGGATTGATACATGATCCTTATGGCCCCTTATTGAGTGTAATACAAACTGGCAGTGTGATGGAGTATAGGGAACAATTTGAGTTGATGGTGGCACCCCTGAAACAGACTGATTTGAAAATACTCAAGGGAATTTTTATGAAGGGTTTGAAAGATGAAATCAAAGCTGAATTAAAATTATATCCAGTCAGAACTCTTGCAGAATTGATGGATAGGGCTTTGCTTGTTGAACAGGGGAACCAAACTCTCAGATCTGCCAAAAACAAGGAAGAAGATAGAAGAGGAATGAAGGAAAAAGGGTATATTGTATCACAAAATCACAAATGGATGGATGAAAATAAGTGGAAGAGCAGTATGAATAACCAGTCCAGTCAAGGGAAACCTGCAGTAGAAAAGAAAATGGAGATAGAGAATAAAGAGCAGGGAATAAGGAGTACACACAGACGATCTCAAGCTGAGTTACAAGAATTGAGCAGAAAAGGTTTATGTTTCAAATGTGGTGAAAGATGGGGCAGAGATCACAACTGTAAGATTAAACACTTTCAGATCATCACGTTGGATGAATCTGAAGAGGAGGAGGATGTATTGGACAATACTGTTACAGAACATGCTTCACAGTTGGAAGAGACAGACCTGAATAATATGCAGCTATCCCTAATGAGTAAAGAAGGGATAACAACTCCTAAGACTTTTAAATTGAAGGGGAAGTTAAGGAGCCACATAGGAAATAAGACCATCATAATTCTGATTGATCGTGGGGCCACACACAATTTTATATCTCACAAGTTAGTACAAGCAGCAAGGTTACCTGTTCTCCAGATTCCAGAATTCAAGGTGGAGATAGGGAATGGAGACATAATCAGAAACAATGGGAGGTGTGAAGCTGTTTCTCTTAACATTCAACAAATTGACATCACTCAAGACTTCTATGTATTAGAATTGGGAGAAACAGAGATGGTTTTGGGACTGGAATGGTTAGCAAGTTTGGGAACTGTTGAATTCAATTTCAATCAATTAACTATCAAATGGAAGGAGAAGGATAAAGTAAGGCAACTTCAGGGAGATACCAATCTCAGCAGAAATCAGGCCTCTTTCAAATCTATCATTAAGACTATGCAAGAGCAGAAAGAAGAATATTGTTTGTTCAGCCATGCAGTTACAGAAAACAAGGTGGAAGAAGGAAAGGAAAAATTATGGATGCAAGAAATGATAACACAGTTTGCTGAGGTATTCCAACCCCCGATTGGTTTACCTCCAAAAAGGGAATGTGACCATGCCATTACTATAAAAGAAGGTGAAAATCCTCCAAACATCAGACCCTATAGATACCCACAGTACCAGAAGAATGAGATAGAAAAGGTTGTGCAGGAGTTGTTAAAAACAGGCATTATCAGACCTAGTACCGGTCCTTATAGTAGTCCAGTATTAATGGTGAAGAAGAAAGATGGGGGGTGGCGCTTTTGTGGTGATTACCGAACCCTAAATAGAATTACAGTCCCTGACAAGTTCCCTATTCCAATGATAGAAGAACTTTTGGATGAACTGGGAGGAGCACAGTTTTTTTCTAAACTGGATTTGAAATCCGGCTACCATCAAATCAGGGTGAAAGAAGAAGATATTCACAAAACAGCTATTAGAACACATGAAGGCCACTATGAATACATAGTTATGCCTTTTGGTCTCACCAATGCTCCGTCTACATTTCAAGCTTTGATGAACAAGGTGTTGAGACCCTATTTAAGGAAGTTTGTGTTGGTTTTTTTGATGATATCTTGATCTACAGCAAATCAGAGGAGGAACACATTGAGCATGTCAAGAAAGTAATGCAGATATTGAAAGATAATCAGTTGGTGGTCAATCAAAAGAAATGTGAATTTGGACAGAAAAAATTGGCTTATTTAGGCCATATTATATCTGGAATGGGTGTGGAGGCAGATCCCAGTAAGGTGCAGGATATGTTAGACCGGAAAAACCTAAGGATGCTAAAGGCTTGAGGGGATTCTTGGGACTAACAGGTTATTACAGGAGGTTTGTTAAAGGGTATGGTAAGATAACAGCACCCCTCAACAACCTACCGAAGAAGGATGGATTCCAGTGGACACAGGAAGCAATGGATGCCTTTGAAGAACTGAAACAAGCTATGACCAGACTGCCAGTTCTACAAATTCCAGATTTCAACAAAACCTTTGTTATAGAAGCAAATGCTTCTGGAAAAGGGGTTGGAGCAGTATTAATGCAGGAAGGGAGACCTGTATCTTACATGAGCAATACTTTGTCAACCAGAAATCAGAATAAATCAGTTTATGAGAGAGAACTGATGGCAATTGTTTTGGCAATACAGAAATGGAGATCTTATTTGTTGGGGAGAAAATTTGAGGTGCACACAGACCAAAAGAGTTTAAGGTTTCTCACAGAACAGAGATTATTGGGGGAGGATCAGCAAAAGTGGGTTACTAAACTTTTGGGGTTCAATTTTGTCATTAAATACAAACCTGGAAAAGAAAACAAAGTTGCAGATGCTCTTTCTAGAAAAGGGGGATTTTATTCCCTATCGATCATAACCTGTCAGGAGTGGGAGGACTTGGAAAAGGAGCTCTTGGAAGATGATAAATATAAAGAGATTATCCAAGCACTTTGGGGACAGCCAGATTCAGTGCCAGACTTCAAGGTACAGAGAGGGTTACTTTATTACAAAGACAGATTGGTTATTCCCAAGAATTCTGATAGAAGGGGTTCAATTCTAAGGGAATTTCATGAGTCAGCAGTGGGGGGTCATGCAGGAAGCTTCAAAACCATGAAAAGAATCTCCAATCTATTTTATTGGGAAGGAATGAGGAAGGACATTCAGAATTATGTTAGAAATTGTGAAGTTTGTCAGAGGAATAAACATCAAACACTAAGTCCAGCGGGGTTGCTGCAACCCTTACCCATTCCTAATCAGATTTGGACTGATTTGAGTATGGACTTTATTGGAGGATTGCCAAAAGCAATGGGGAAAGACACCATTCTAGTGGTGGTGGACAGGTTAACAAAATATGCTCACTTCATAGCATTATCACATCCATATAATGCTAAAGGAGTGGCAGAAACATTTTTACAAGAAGTGGTTAGATTGCATGGTTTTCCAAAGACTATAGTTTCAGACAGAGATGGTGTCTTCCTAAGCTCATTTTGGACTGAGTTATTCAGGTTAGCTGGAACCAAACTCAAGTATAGCACTGCCTACCATCCCCAGACAGATGGACAAACCGAGGTGGTTAACAAATGTGTGGAAACTTACCTCAGATGTATGACAGGGATGAAACCAAAGCAGTGGCCCAAGTGGTTACCTTGGGCTGAGTTTTGGTACAATACTAACTACCATGCGTCTACTAAGAACAGCCCCTACAAAGTATTATATGGGCAGGATCCACCGGTATTAATCAGAGGAGATGTGGCCTTGACAGCTGTGGAGGAGGTGGATAGATTGACAGCTGAAAGGAATGATATGATAGATGAACTGAAAAAGAATCTAGCTAATGCACAAAACCGAATGAAGCAACAAGCTGATAAGAAGAGAAGGGAGGTCCAACTGACTGTAGGGGAGAGGGTATATCTGAAGATTCAACCCTACAAATTAAAGACCCTAGCCTTCATTTGGTAGGTTGACGAACCATGTCAATGCTGGTCCGGTCAATGTTGTCCCAAAGGCTCTACACATACAAGCCTCCCTTTGCTCTGGTCTGACCGAGATGGCCAGCTTCCGTTGCTTATATTGGGTGATATGCTCCACGAGGTCAGTAGTTCCGTCACATAACTTCATAGAGGGGCAACGAATTTCCTGGGAATCTTGATGTCCGTGATGTGTCATCCGAAAGGAGAATCTGCATAGCATGTTTGTGACGCAATATCCATAGGTGGTGGTACCCCGGGTATACCACTGATCTTCTCCCGCATTTTCCTCAGCTCTTTCATGATGATGGCTAAGCGGTCTGTTGGACATGAATGCGTCTGTCTGTTCGGGATTGGTGGCATCATTGTGGGGGCTGCGTTCTGCCTGGTTGGAGATGGTATAATGATGACCTCGAGCTCTTGCTGGTTCCTATTGATGATGTTGACATATCCATCAATGTCGACATGTCTGGAGATGTCGACATGATTCAGATCCGTTTTCTCTGAGGCTCTGTAAGCAGGTCAAGGAACGTGTTCCTCCTAGGATTCGGTAGAGGGACGGATCGAGCTGAAGGTCCCGATTCTCTGGATGTGCTTGCCACCGAGTGAGGGATGAAAGGTTCCGTTGTGGCCGTCTTGGCAGCGGCAGTCGGCATCCTGTGGTTGGCGGAATGCAGTCCTGCTGTCACCGGTCCAGTTCACAGCGACTCTGGGAAGAAACATGTATGAATATTAGGCATTGGAGTCGTTTCCGGACAAGAGGAACGTACGGTATGACTTGCAAAATGATGGTGGATTGAGGATTGACGGTGGGTGACATCCCCAACGTAAGAGATAAAGGATTCATCGTGTTGGTGAGTTGTTCGGTCGAGATTGGAATGGGATCCAAATCCAACCTTGTTGCTGGTGTCATGGCGTCACGCCGTCACCTCTTCGGCTGAATCTTGAGTTGGAAGCTATGGACACCACCGATTGCACTTGAGAGCGCAATACATCATTTTTTATGCGAATTTCCCATAGACGGCGCCAAATTGTTTATGGTAAAATAAACTAATCTAAAATGAAATGGGAATCAAACAAATTTGAATCGATAATGGACCGGATCAAGAACAAAAAGTATAAATTAAATATGTAATAGGGGTTCGAATATGATAGAGAATTTGGTTACAAAGGTAATGAATGTATTGTGCGAGTTTGATAAAAAATGATCGTGCCCTTTCTGGAAATCTATGTAACTATTTATTAGATAAAGTATTACTCCTTCCCCAAGTTTTGCATCTGCCCTCCGTTTTCTGCTCCACGTCTAACTGATTGTGCCTATCCTTTTCCTTCCTTTGACTCGGGCTAGTAATTGGTTGAAGCACAACTCTTCTATTTGGACTTATGTAATCTTCTTCACACTTGTCTGCCAGCCCAATCGCGAGAAATATCATTGGCCCAACACCCAAAATCAAGAAATATCACCGGCCCAACACCGCCCGACCCAAACCAACCGGATCAACTATGGTCCTCTACAACTAAGTCGGACTGGTCAATGCCCGGGTAGCAGCAGCCCCAACCAGATCCCCGACCTGGAAACCCTAACCGCCGTCATCTTCGTTGACATAGTTGTAGAGGTCGTCGCTAGGGAGATGTCAATCCTAATCGTCAACTAAAGAAAGAGAAGAAGATGGCAAGCGACAAGAATGGTGAGCGGCAACGGCGTGACGACCAAGAGAGAGAAGGGTTGCCGGTCAGGCCCGACGACATCAAGGGAGAGTTCCATGTCAGTGGATGACGATGATGAAAAGTTTCGCTTGCTGAGGCGACGAAATTTTTTGCGTGCAAAGATGGGATAAAGTAAAAGGATGACTCGCTTTTGTGGAAATATCTAATGAGTCATATTTTTGGAATTTGAAAAGCCATAGGTAATAAGTGAGCCATTATTTTTATATACAATAAGGCTTATACACTAAAGAAACTATTGGTACTAGGGTAGTGCTTGGAATTCATTCTTCTTCTGCTTGTTTTCTAAAATCTGGTTTCCGCCAACTTCTAAATAAATGCTTCTACGAGCAATTTGAAGCTCACAAGTACTTCTGCAATTTCACCCAAACACTCCAGGATTTGTTTCTCTTCCTCCCGAATTTTTTTAAGTAGATCTAAACACAAATGTATGTGAGCAGCGTTTGTCCAGAGGCCCTAACTGAAACAAGACGGCCCAAGCAAAACACTGGAGGTTGAAAAGCGGTAAATCAGCAATGAACGAGCATCGCCAAAGCAGTGGAGCAGACAAGTTGAGACCTGTGGAAGCAGACAAGTTGAGACCTGTGGAAGCAGAGAAACAATGAAACAGATGACCTGTTGCCTCTCACGCCGGTCGGCGTTCTCTACTTCGCTGAAAATATCGGAGTCAGCCGGAATATCGGCGTTCTCTACAATTCTGTATCTCGCTTAGCAGACCGCAGTGCCCTACTGCTCGTGCACCTGTGCCCCTAGCCCGCTCCCGAATCCCACCCTGTGCTGCACCCTCCGCCCCTACCTTCTGACTGAGCTGTCTTCCGGTTTTCAAGTATGTATTTAAGTATTTTACTTTCAGTTTTATTTTTGTTATATTTCACTCCCTCACTCCCAATATGTAAGATACACTTTGTTGTGAGTTGTGAGTTGTGAATTCTGAATTATGACTTATGGAATATCCCTAGATTGCTCGATAGATTGTTCTTGTGAATTAAACCAGTAAAACCTTAGTATGAGGAATTATAAGGCCGAAAATCACCATTTTTACTGATTTTTGTTAGGTGAAATTCTCGTAGAAGGCACTGCAGCCACTAAAAAAGATGGGAAAGAAAGGATCAAACACAATTAAACATGATTCAAATGGGAGGAAACAGAACCATGTTAATGCCAAGTCGATGTTGAAACTGGAGCATATTAAGAATATTGCGGTTTGGGCCAGTGGTGAGGCATCCATACCTTCTTTAGGCTGCTTTTTTGGCATGAGTTTAGCTGCTTCCTCCGAGGCCTTGGGATTGCCTCATGACTCGACTTTTGTCCCTTGTCAAAGGTTTCTCTTTGCTTACTCCTTTTATTCTTAATAAATTTCATGCATGAACTTTTTAAAAATATGTAATTGACTTCAGCTGTTTTTATTTTCTCTAAAATCCATTTAAGAAAGTTTATTCATACGTCACTTTCAGTTTTTGGCAACTACTGTAGTATCAAAAGACATAAATATCCTCTCCTTTTTCGCAAAGGCCAAGGCTTGCCCCTTGTACACCATTGTGGTGGCACCTTTCCCTGGACATAAATATCCTCACCTTGTGGGGATGCCTTTGTATACCGGGCTGCCCTTTATTCTACCTTTGTATCTACTTTCTCTTACTCTTTTTCATTTTTATCTACACTATTAACTACCCTACACTTTCGAAATTCATGTTTGGTGAGTTTTTTGGTTCAATTAAGGTTTTGTGAATTCACGTCATTACTTCCATTCCTGTTTGATAACATAACCTTTTCCTTTGTTGTATTTTTTCTTGTGAATAGACAATCACTTTGTTTTCTATTTGGTGTTTGTAGTTGGTTTTTACTGAAATCTTGTAGTTAGTATCATGCTCAGTAGAAAACACTGAGTGATTTAACTATACATTTCATACTGATGTACTTTCATCTTAATCTTATAGAAAAGCTGCATCTAGTTTTTAGATGTGGTGTAGTGATAATGTGATATGTGTATTTGAATGGAATTTTTTGTTTTGAAATAGAAATAAGCCACCTTTACTTTTGACAAAAGGTGAACAATTCAATGTTGGATACAACTAATTCAATGTTGGATGGTAGAAAAAAAATCACAACCTTATAGTGATTGGGGAAATAATTTAAGTGACAATAGCATTTGCTATACTATTCTAGTTAATTATTCTATATCTGTACATGGTTCCAATTCCACCATATGTAAAACTTCTACTTTCAGCACAGAAAGGTACTGGCAGAGTGATGCTCTACACCGTGTCATTTTTTTGCTTTATCAAGTGCTTATTTATGCACTGAAGATCAACCAAAGAAGAGTAAGAGCATGTTTGAGATGCCTTATCAAGTGCTTATTAAAAAATGCTGTAGTGGTTAACTGAGAAATAACTTTATATCAATGCACTTAAACCATCAGGTATCCATACAGGCTCTAAAGTAGTGATTGTTATAGATTTGAAGAATGAAAATCAGTTCTAACTTCTAAAAAGAAATAGGTGTGAGGCAGATAGGGCATAGTGTCTAGGCGAGGCTTAGTCAGGGTTAACTGGGGTAATTTTAAAAAACACCCAAACATTTACACACAGAGTCTTCCAAGTAGAAGTCTAGAGCTTACTAGTCTATCCATGAATTTTCTGAACAGAGTTGAAGATATATGATGTCTAAAAAATTTAGAGGAAGTAGGGAGCGTTCTTTGAACAGAATTGTGTGTGTTTATCTGATTTAAAATCCCTTGTGTCACTGCTTTAATATGTTTCTCCATCTCTTTTCTGCTCAGTGCGTATGTTTTTATCAGCACTTTAACATTTTGTCATTTGATACCTTTAAACGCTAAAAATCCTCTATTATTTATAATGAGTGAACTGCTGAAAATAAAATTATAATGATCTTCCGCAGATGTGAATCTGTTCTTCAACCAGGCTACAATTGTACTATTCGAGTTGAGAAGAGCAACCCAAAGGCTCATTACAGGAGCAAGAAATCCAGATGCAGCCCACAGAATCATGTGGTGTACATGTGCCATTTTTGTTCACACCAGAACCTAAAGAGAGGAACCCCAAAAGGCCATATGAAAGAAATATGCCCACAAAAGCCCAATCCCTTAACCCATAAAAAGTCATCTGAATCAAAGACTGTCACTTCAAGTAATGGCGATCATGATATTATGCTAGACGGGTCTTTTGAAACAGCAGGTGATCCTACGACGCCTTCATCGATGAGAGTGGACATCACTTTATTGGACTCGAAGAGAAAGAGAAGGAACTGGTCAGGGGGATTAAAGAAAAAGCCTGTTAGATCTGAATGTGCTTCAACCACCACGACCACTACTACTAATACAACTACAGACGGTAATCATAAAACCACTATTGACACAGGTGGTAGCAAGAGAAAGAGAAAATCTTGGACTAGTTTGAAGCACATTGCTGAAAGTAATGAGCATGATGGTCATGTTAGGAAGTTCTCAAATGTGGTAGTCCCTTTTTTTGTATGAGTTCAAATTATTTGTTCATGCTTGTTGTTAAACTTCATAGTGTGAAACTTGTGATTCAAAAGTTTTGTTGTTGCTATTGTTAGTCATTTGATGCACAGTATCCTTTACTTAGTTGTGGTTCTAACTTCTAACAAATTCAGGTTAAAATACCTAAGAAGTGAACAAGTAAGAAGGTGATATTTTAAGACGAGTAGTGAAATGGTAATTCGAGACATCAAATGAGTGGTCGGAATTTAGAAATGTTCTTGGCTCAAATAGGATTGAGGTTGTACTGGGAAAAGATCTATGATGACCTGTATTGGCTGTTCACAGTTGTACAGGTCATCGTTAGTTTCGAGAGTTCTTTTGACGTTAGTTTCTTGTTTTTATATAGATTCTCTTATTTTCTGCTGGGTGCATATATTCAATTTATCAGCACTTTAACATTTTGTCATTTGATACCTTTAAACGATGAAAATCTTCTATTATTTATAATGAGTGAACTGCTGAAAATAAAATTATAATGATCTTTCGCGTATGCGGAAATTGAATATATGCATCGAGCAGAAAAAGGATGGAGAAGCCTCGCCTAGACACTATGCCCTATTTGCTTCCCACATATTAAAACAGTGACACCACATCATTCTTAGGTTAATTGCAACTTTCATCTATCAATAAATCAAATTTCTCATTACTTTATACGTATTAACATTGTCAATTCAATTTTTGCAGCAATCCAGCCACTGCCAATATACTATCTTGCAAAGTTGTTTTTAATTTAAGTCTTATTTTTATTATTATACACCTTTTTTATCAATTTTTTTAGGATAATTAAGATTGAAAAGAATCAAACATTTTGATGTAAAAGTAAATAAATTTGAAACTATTTTTTTGTTTTTGTTTTTATTTCAGTCCCATTTTTGAAAAAATAAGCGAAAGATAGTAAAAAAATATTAATCATGAGATCTTAATTTTAGCATTCGAATATATTTAACAAAAAAATTGAGTCCGAAAATCTCAAATAGTTGCAATTTTATATTTTTGTTCAACTTTATATATATATATATATATATATATATATATATATATATATATATATATATATATATATATATATATATATATATATATATAGACACACACACACACACACTAGTTTAGTAACGCGCGTTGCGCGTCCGTGGTAATGCCCAAGGCCAGTGTGGGAAAATTAATTATTCGGTTCGGATTGAGTGAATATATGAGTAATATCAATACATTATTTGAATACGTAGTTTGTTATTTACAAAATTACAAAATAAATTAAAATAAACTTTATGAAGGGAACACAAAAAAATGTGGCCAATTTTATAAACATGAATCAGTCCAATCTGGCATTCTTACCTCTAATGTAAATTCAAAAGCCACCTACCTCACTCACACACAAATAAATAGAAATTCCACAAACAAAAAATGACCATAAATCAAAGAACCAACACCAAACTCCAATAGTCTACGGCTAATTAATCAATTAACATTAGGGGTCTCAACTTCGGGTTTCTCTTGTTCAGCCTCTTGCACTTCCTTCTCTGTCTTCCTTCCCTTCTTTAAGTTGTAGTACACAATCATGAAGGTGCCTATGATTTTATACTTGCGCCTGCAGTGCTCATAGAGCCCAGCACCAACATCCTCCAGAAGCTCTTTCCTGACAACTCATGAAATGCATATTGTATAGTCTAAATGTGATCTGATCCTTGTCAGGCCCCATGCAATATTATTTAAACTAAGCTATAGTATAAAGATAGTGTAATGTAATGTGCTTAGAAAAAATGGGCTGTAACATTATAACAAAAACACTTGAGAAGTGATAAAGAGATTTAAAACATATTTATTTTTATGTATGTTAAACTATTAGGAGCAAAAAGTGATAAAAAACCAATAGAGCCGGCAAATTTCATACCAAATAACAAGTTTTCCTTTTTTTTGTAAGTATTTATTTCACCGAAACTATATTTCACTTTAAGAACATGAACAGACTACTTTTACTTGTCTTCATCCTTGTGAGTACCGATATTCTCTCATTCTCTTATTTAGAAATGATAAAGGAATAGAATCTACTACATAGAATGTTTAGATTTATCGGGTAAGGTTCATTACTGAAAATCTCATCAAGATAAGAAGTAACTGGATTCTTTATAATATCACAACCCTAAGCGGTTTTACCATTCATATCCTGAACTTCAAAGGTAAAAGGAATTTTGTTTGTTATCGTTGGTAGTAGTATGTAGGAATTTTGTTCCTTATCTTTGACAAAATGGTCTGTAATTTTATAACATAAACACTTGAAGAGCATTGAAGAGGTTAATCAAAGAATTCACGTTATAAAGCATTTAGTTTGTATGTTGTTGTATGTATAGGTCTTGTCTTTCCCCTGGTAATAAAAGACGGTCAAATAGCACCTGAAGTGTAGTGGTGTTTACTGTTTACCCAAGGTTAGAGTTTTGATCATTGTTAAGTACTAGGTTTGCACAATTAGGTATTATTACTAGGTTCAACCAATTAGGAATGACTACTTTGGCTTAGTTGGACAATGAAAAACAGTATGTGCATGTTCTTTAAAGTGAAATATAGTTGAAGTTTAATATCTTCTTAACAAAGAAATAGGAAAACTTACTCTTTCAAATAAAATTTGCTAGCTTTATGGGAGTTGTTTTAGTTTTTGCTCCTAATAGTTTAACATTCATATGAAAAACTACATTTTTAACCTCTTCAATGCTCTTCAAGTGTTTATGTTATAAAATTACAGACCATTTTGTCAAAGATAAGGAACAAAATTCCTAAATACTACTACCAACGATAACAAACAAAATTCCTTTTACCTTTGAAGTTCAGGATATGAATGGTAAACCCGCTTAGGGTTTTGATATTATAAAGAATCCAGTTACTTCTTATCTTGATGAGATTTTCAGTAATGAACCTTACCCGATAAATCTAAACATTGATATATGAAGCATATAGTAAAATGTTATGAATTTGGCTAAGTATATTGGGGGGGGGGGGGGGGGGGGGGGGGTAGTATAATAAAATATTGCAAAATAGATACATAGCAAATGTTTAAGTAGTTAAATTTTAAAATTTATATCATTGTTTTTTAAAATATTTATGGTATATTTATATAAATTTGATGAATATGGCATATAGTATATTGGGGTATGGTATATTTATATAAATTTGACATATAGTATTTAAAATATTTAGTCAAATTTTAAAATTTATATCATGGTTTTGATGAATATAAAATTATGAAAGTAGTTAATTTTAAAGTTTTAGGAAAGTTATGAAAGTTATTCATATCATTTTTATATTATAAATAGTTTTCAATAAATATATATAATCGCTAAAAGTTTGGCCAAATACTTGGCTAATAGTTTTACATTTGGACGGAGGTAGTATATGAATAACTATGGTTTTGTTAATATATTAAAATATTATTTTAATATATAGATCTATTAATAATCGATTAAGACAAATGGAACACATGCAAACTTCAATTATATGAACATGTACGACCCCAATCACACACAAACATGAGTCAACTTCACGTGCCCATAAATTTTTCCTATCCCTTATTTCTTTAATGATGTTTAATTCTATTTTAAAAGGACATATTAAATTTTTATCATTCTCCATATTGTAATTCTTTTGTTGAGAGTAAGACTTTAAGGGCCTTTTTACTAACAGAGACATTTTCCTGTTTTCTACTTCGGTTTTTTCGTTCTCCAATTTCCTGTTTTTATTTTTCAGTTTTTCTATCTCCAGTTTTCTGTTTCTATTTTCTAGTTTTCCATTTTCAAATCTGAAAACATGTTCATCAATTTTTTCACCCAGTTCTGTGATCATCCAGAAGATTGACATGTTTACTTCATGGGTTACTAAATGGTGCTTATTAAGAGTCACATTAATAAACGCCGCATAAAATAAGCAATATCGGCAAAACACCGTTTAACATTAAAATGTCCAAAATAACCCTATACATATATAGACACACAAACACTCATGAACACAAATATATAATATAATATGTGGGGTCAATCACTTCGTACGTGTACCCATACTCCTAACCCATATCCTGCCCCTATACCTTATACCCCCACCCTACACCCTACACCCAATTCCACACCCTTGACCCCTACCCCTACCCTTACCACGATCTTACACTCTACCCATACTCCCTAAAACCCTTCATACCCATATCTACTCGTAGGGGTCGGGGTAGGGAAGGAAGGTATGGGTGGGGGTGGGGTAAGGGGTATGGTCGGGGGTGGGGTGGTAAGGTCTAGGGGTACAGGTTGGGTGGGGTAGTGGGTGGGTTAGGGTGGTGATTAGGGGTAATGGTAGGGGTAGGGTAGGGAGTTGGGATAGGATGACGGTAGGGTGGGGGCGGGATCAGGGTGGGGTTGAGGTGGGGAAGGGGTAGGGTGGGGGCAGGATGGCGGTAGGGTGAGTCCGAGGTAGGGGGCATGTGGGAAGGGGTAAGGTAGGTGTAAGGGGTAATATACGAGGTGGGGGTAGGGTAGGGTGGGTCGAGGTGGGGTTGAGGTGGTAGGGGGTAACGATTAGGGTAGGGGTGGATCAAGGTGGGACCGAGGTAGGGGCATGCAGTAGGGGTGGGGGTAGGGTCATTGTAGGGAAAAGGGCTATGCGGGTTGGGGTTGGGTGGGTAGGGTAGGGTAGGGGTAAGGGGTAAGGTATGAGGATGGATGTACTAGAATGAAATCGACATCAGAGCGGGACCGGACCCACCACTAGGTGTAATCATGCAAATTCATTGTTGCAGCCTGTAGCATATGCGTTTTCCAAACTTGAAAAACTAGTAAAAGTCACTTCTCCAAATCATTAAGGAAAGAGAGACATGTCCCATTTTTTTCCGTTTTGGAAAACAGTTTGCTAAACACGTTTTTCTGTTTTCCTTTCTCCAGTTTTCCAGCAATTTTCTTTGGTAAACACGTTTCCTGTTTTCTGTTTTCTAGTTTTCTAGTTTTCTGGAAAACTGGAAAATATCTCCGTTAGTAAACATGCCCTAACTTATTATAATTTCTTTTGATTTACCATTAAAATTGTCTTATCTTTCATTTAGATTCCGTCCCACTACATTGTCACATCGAAATTTGGTAAAGTTTGGGTGGTTCTAATTGTAACGTTTCATTTAGTTGTATGATTTTAAATTTTAATTATATATACTTCCTCAATTAACATTAGTATA